GGGCCCCGGGCAGGCCCGGGAGCTCCGGGACCAGGAGGAGGCAGAGGAGCGGCGGGCAGGGACCGTCAACGGGGAGGGGGGACCTCTCGACTCAAACTGGGCCTCCTCCACCTCCCGCGGCGCTGGCAGCGGCGACGACTGCTCGTCGCTAGCTCTTCTCTCTCCTCAGCCTCAACTTCAACCCAAAACAAAAACACTCCCCACCTGCCAGCAACGCCGCTCCTCATTGGGTAGAGCCGCCCGGGCCTCGGAACAGCGTGGGGAGGGGGAGAGGAGGAGCGCGCGGCGGCGCGGCGCGGGACCACCCCTCCCCCACTCCCGGGCGCAGCCGGCGACGGTCGGCCCGAGAGAAGCCGGACCGCGGCAGCGGCGCGAGCCGGCTCTCGGGTCCCAGGCAGGCAAGCCCACCGCGAGCAGGAGAGGCAGGGAAGTGCCCAAGTGTCTGTGTGTATTTGTGTATGGGAGGGGCTGTGGGGCGGGTGCGTGTGCGCGCGTGCTCGCGGACCCCGTAGACAGGAAAGCAGACAACTGCACGCAGCACCGGAGCCCGGTTCTCTCCTCCGCGGGCATGAAGCACGCATCAACCCACTAAGCACTTGAGCTTTCTGTCTAGTCTTCCCAGCTCCCTAAGTCTTGTCGCTCCTTCCCCGATAGCCTGTGCTGCCACACACGTCCTTCCCAGCCACCCAATTCCCTTCCCCTATCACTCACTGTCGCCTTGAACCCAAAGTGCAGCAGGCGGTCCCTGCTCGGAGCCATTTTCCTCCTCTTTCTGCTTGTCTCTAGATTGGGGCAGTGCTGCTGTTGCTGCTGCCGCCGCCGTCGCTGTCGTTGGTGCCGCTGCCGCCGCCGCCCCCGCCCCCGTGGATTGCATTACCGGGTGTTGCAGGGAGGCCTGTGCGGCCGCTGCGGGGCGTGGGTCTCCCTGATCATGAATCAGGAGGGCAGGGGGATAACTGCGTTGCCCTCTGCTCGGGGGATATGCAGCGAGGCCTCACCTCGCGCCCTGGGGTCAGGGGTGCAGTGCTGGAGCTGGCCGACTAGTCCCTTAGCTGGGGGAGGGGCGCGCTTTGATGGTGGGAGGGGGCCGCGAGGAACACCGGCCTTTGGCTTTCCCCGCCCCTCTGCCGTCCGGCCGCCAGACAGCCACTGACACCCAATGGGTTCTAGTTCCTACCGGTTCTCCAATCAGAGCTCTGGTTGGTGAGAACCTGATCTTTACGCCATTTTGGCGGGAGAAACAAGCGTGTCTGGACGAGTAGGCGGGGGCGCTCGCGGAGAGGAAACGACGACATTCATTTGACTCCGCGGCTCCTTGTATAGAAGCTCCCTTGTGCACTATTATCACACTTTAGCAACTCCCGCTCTCGAGGTCTGGAAATTTATGATCTTATTTCCATGAATTAAGGAGTAAGAGTTTAACCCTTAAACTACAGAATCATGTCCCAAAGATAAAATATTAGAAACTATCATAAATTCTAGCAGTCCTAGCAAGGCAACTGCTATGCTCCTAATTATAGTCCGAACCAGGTATGAGCTTGTTTTCCTACCTCTTTTAATTCGTACTTTTAGTGACTGGCTTGTTATGAATCTGATTAAGAAACAAGCTTATTTAAGAGCAAATAGTGTTGAGGGTCGTCGTTTAATAATAGCATATTTTAGCTGGATTACCCAACTCTTCAAGGTTTTTTAAAAAAACTTCGCTATCCTAGAAAGGGGTTCCTAAGCAAGGAACCTATGCTTCTGAAACTCATTCTCAAACCCGTATCCAAATGTTATAAACCCATGTCTAAATATTATTCTCTTCCTCTCCCAGATGTTTTATATTACATATAGCTTCACTTCAGCCATATAAAAACAGCCTTTAAGTTATGTCTCATGTAAGAGCAGTTTTCTCCCAGCAAGAACTACTGATGATTTTGGTGGCCAAAGCCTGCAAGACAGTAAACCTGGCTTGAGCAGATGACAAACCAAATGAATAAAACTTTCACAGGTCTGTTTCCCTATTTCAATCATCTCCAGTTAACTTATTCCAGTAATGCCCAAGGAAGCCTTTTATTTTTTGATTAATTTTTTTGATTGGACTTTTTAAAAACAATGAAAATTATTCAAAGGCTAAAAATTTATTACACATAGGCATATTACTTTTTATCAAAGAAATTTATTTGCATGTAAATAAACAGGTTCTTTTGTAATGTTTTGGGGGGAAAATCCCACATTTTGTCTACTTTCAAAAAAATGAAAAACCCCAAAGTATTTACAGAATGGCCACACACACAGAAAATCAAATTTGAAAGGTTTTAGAAAAGACCCTCCCCAGCTGCTCCTGATGTACATTTTTAAAACTCAAAACTTAAAGCCCAGCCTTTATAGCTGAGCATGTTTCCAACCTAGTATCTGAGATGGTAAATTATTCCTACCCCTCAAAAAACAACTCAAGGATAGAATAAGGGGGGTAGGAGCATTGAAAAGCCCCCCCACACCCCCCCAAATTTTTTTAATGAGATTGCCCAGGGACTGTGAATGTTTCCTATACTGGCATCTGCTTTAAGTGACTTGACTGGATACTGTATGACTCACTGGTGCCCTGAAAGTGTTTTTTTTTTCTTTATTCTTCTGAGAATTTATTTTTACTGTACTAAGTTTTTAGACCTAGGCCTTAAAGAAAATCATTCCAAGAGTCACCAACCTCAAGTCTGGTTTTGGCAGTTACATCCTGCTTCACTTTTCTCCCTCTAAAACACTTGTTTTAAAATACATTGACTATTGAACCTGAAATCTTCATGTACATCAGAGCAGGTTTTGACCAAGAACCCCTAACAGGAAGCCAAAAGACAGAAGAGGAATCAGGTCAAACAAAGAATACATAAGACACCAGCAGAAGACAGGTAGTTGACTTCATTTCCTTGCCGTCTTTTGAAACAGGAGAATGAGTACACCTAGACAGGAGGGAGGTGTCCCAGGCTTGGTTAATTCTGCCTCTTCTCCTCCACCCTGTGGAGAAATGCAGTGCTCCCTGGTTCTCAGGCAGGGTGAAGCAGTTTAGCCCCGGCTCCCTGTTAAGCAAGTTCAGTTGCTGGGTCAATGTGTGGGGTGTGCCCATCGACAATTCAGGGGCTTATCCTTCATCCAGATCCTAACTCGGGATCCTTTGATCTGGGATGAAGACAGAAAGAGAGAAAAAGCTTCCCAGTTTACTCATTTTGATATCTGTTGGCTCTACTTGGGGGAGCTGAGCCCCTGGTACTATGTAGTACATTCCCCATAAAATTTTCCCCACCCAGAACAAACAAAAACCATGTAACTTTTTTTTTTTTTCCTGCAGAAACCAGTGGGATAGGATTCAAAACTAGGCGAGAAACTTGTGAGAAATCCAACCTGGTTGTATGTCTGAGAGGCTGCTACTGTATCATCATCACAAGATAAAGCACTCTGGTATCACCTTGCCCATGTCCTCCTTAGTGTCACCCAAGACATTTGACTCTGATACGGTAACCGATAACTTTTCTTGCTCCACTTTGCAATGTTTCGTTTCCTACTTCTTATACCTTGGGACACAAAAGTGGCAGAGTTGTTGAGAGCTGATGACCAGAAAAGGGAGAACACTAGAGGAAATCAGAGACAGGAAAGAAAGCCAAAGCTGATTTTCCAACTCTATGCTAAGTCCAACCTGCAGAAAGAGCTGAATATCGAAATCTTTAATATCCAATGAAGTCACTCCATATTTCTCTCTCTCTCTCTCTCTCTCTCTCTCTCTCTCACACACACACACACACACACACACACATCACCTGGCTTTTTTTTTTTTTTAAATCCAGAAGAGTTGTGCTGGGGACCATGCCCCATCCTGCTGATACAGATCCTGAACGGAATCATCAGGAATGGCACAGTGCAGGTGTCAAAATCAAAGTAAGGCCGCAGAATTTTGAGAGGACCCTCCAAATACTGAAAACTTGTGTTGCACTCAAATGGTCTCCTGGATTTTTACATTTATGAGAAGGGCTTCTTATTGACGTCCCCCAGAATCCAGACTCAGACCTATTCCTCCAAAAAGGTCCAATTGTGTTGCTACATAGTAGCAAGGGTTTATCTTCATGCCCACCTAGTATTCCAGGCCCCTATTACTTCAAGTGAGCTTGAAATTGTTTTAAGTGAACTATGGCTGCAAATTTTTTAGTTTTATCTAAGGGAGCATGAGTGATTCAAGTCTGGACTCCTTGTGAAGAGAAAGGAGCCCAGCTCTCAGGTATGGCATCAGTTCTCCTACAAACAAAATGCTGGGGTGTGGACTTTTGGCACATTGCGGAAATAGGAGAACTATTAATTCTGTAATGGTTTTCATGCCACTGGGTCAGGGAGGCTGTCCCACATTAAACCTTACTGCATCTGAAAACATTTTTACATCCCAAAAAGCCAGTCCAGCTTTTTTTTTTTTTTTTTTTTTAAGGTAAGAGAGACTATAAATCAATACCTCTACAGGGAGGTAACTCCTAATAGTCATATGATGTCTGAACCCTATGAAAAACCTTCTAAAACAAAAATACCATTTGGGTTTTTCTCCTTAACTCCAAAGGTGGGCTCTGACTAATCTGCTTGGGCTTGATGCTACAGTACCAGCACAAGCTACAAGCTCTCTACAACCAAATAAGCCTTGCTCTTTTACCTCCCATCACTTTGAACCCTGAACCTCATATAATTAGAAAGAAATACTGTATAAAAACAGATAAAGGGTTAAAATATTACAAATAAATAGCTAAAATTATCTTCCCTCCCCCAAACACTCCTAAGAAACAGACACCTAGCATTACTTAAGTGTCCAAAATGACCAAAGTCCTTCATTTGCCCATGCTTCAAATGGACAACTACCCAAAGGTGAACAACCTTCATGCAAATGCATCAAGGAATGTATTGCTTTTTCACTTTCTGCCCAGCCCTTCAAATACATGCGCTAAAATGAGATTAAAACATGGCCTAAAAATGGAAAAAGGGAGAAAAAATATATATGAATATTTCCCACAAAACTGTTTCCCACCCTTCCCTCTCCCTGTGTCCCCCCACCCCCTCCCTTTCATAAGCAAGTATTTTAACTTTTTTTTTCCTGGCAAAGGAACAAGTGATTCTTGGTAACCAGAAATAAACCTGTTCTCTTTAGTAGGGTCTAGCTATGCCTTTCTAAATTCACTCGGCTCAGTGTCAAAGACATGCCATTTAACATTCTTAAACAAAATCAGACCTGTCCAACTCACCCCTTATGGTGGTTTGCCTATGAACTTATTAGTTTTTCTCTGGCCATGTTTTTTATCTTAAAAAGTAAGGTTCCTAATTGCCAATCAGGGCTACATCCATAAGATCATCATCTTCCTCCCCAATCATAAAATCAGGGCTGAGCCTTGAGGGCCTGTCTGTAGATAAGATTGTGTTACTTGTCATAGACAAGGACTGGTCTGAAGAGATGGGTGATTTAGACCAACTCTCGGGCTTGATGCTATGAGATTTTTTCTTGTCTCGATCTTTGTCCCGGTCCCGATCTTTGTCTTTTACTTTCTTCTTTTCTTTTTTGTGCTTCTTATGCTTCTCTGTGCTGTATTCTGGAAGTGGTCGGATGCCATCATCTGAGCTGGGACTGTTCTGGTAAGATTTCTCTGCTATGGAGGAGCCTGACTCACTTTCACTGTCCAGGTTTTGGGGGGTATATGCTGGTGACTTACTATGGCTGGGAGAGCCACGCTCATGCTTTGGAGTGGAACCACTGATGAGTGGAGAGCCATAGTTTTTGGAAGAGGCCATCTGAGGCCTAAGCCCTTCTCCGCTACTTTCCCCAGGTTTCTGCAAAGTCACTTTGGCTTTAATGCTGGGGGATCCCCCATCATGCTTGCTGATGATAATTTTTGCCACACCCGTGCTCCCCACATTTTTTGACTCTGAAGTCTTCTTAGATGAATCCACTGAGCCCCCAGAGGTGGAAACCTTTGATTTGTCTTTATCACTTTTCTCACGCTTGCCCTGGAACTCTCCTCCTGACATGTTGTGTTTGGAGGACATAGGATGGCTAGAATTTGTGCTCACCCCCATCTGGCCGTCCATGGGGTCTTCACCTCCAGGGCCACTAGTGACAACCCCATGTTTCAGTTTATCTATGACAGCTGTTAAGGACGGCTTCTTATTTCTGCTGGGAGATTTCCCTTTGGAACTCCCATGCTGGTTCTGAGAGGATGACATGGAAGAGCCAGTTGAAGAAAAGGAAGAGGAAGATGCTGTACAAGAATTAGATGATGGGGGAGTTTTCTGAGACAATGAGCCTGAGGATCCTAACCCTGAAGATGACTTCATGCCAGTGCTTGAACTAGTTCCAGACATATGAGAACCACCAGAACCTGAACTAATAGGGGACTTGGCTTTAGAGGATGGGGGAGTCCCAGGAACAGGCTTCATTGGAGAGGCAAGCTTATCAGAGCCTCCAGGTGGCCTTGAATGAGAAGGGGATATGTTTGGTTTACTTAAAGAAGGATTCATAAGTGATGATGGCTTCCCTTGAGGTTTCATCTTGGTGCTGCTGGAGCCACTGCTCAGTCCATGCTTAGTAATGGGAGAGGAGCCTGGTTTCCCCCCAGACTGGGATGAATTTTTAGACTGGCTAGATCCAGAAGACCCTTGGTTAGAATATATACTGCTACTTAACTTGGAACTTGATGAACTTTCTGATTTACTGCTTTTCATCTTGCCTGAGTTGGAAGCAGAGGATGAGGAAGAAGAAGAATGGCTATGGTGGCTTTTACTGCCTGAGGAAGACACAGAACCACTGCTGGTATACTGACTGTGAGAAGAGGGTTTGCCCACCATCACAGTTCCCTTAGGAATCTGAATAGTGATTTTGGGAATGGGTGGTGTTGCAACACCTGGGGGAGTCTGAGATCTTCCTGAACTGCCTGGAGACTTGGATCCACCTGTACTGGTAGGTGGGGTGAAAGGTCGGTTAGAAGAACTGTGAGATGGAGATTTTCCCTCAGTGTCTGCCTTCTTCCGCTTTGGAGGCTTATCTTTGCTTTTGCCATCATTAGAAGGGGTTCGACTGCGCTTCACTGGCTTGCTATCTAATCCTGGCCCTGACAAACTACTATTACTGGTGCCATTGCCTTCCTTTACTTTTCCCTAAGTCCCCAGTGGTCAATAAAGGACTCTGGCTACCACTGTGATGCTCCATGAGATCTGCAGATCCCAAAGCCTTACCAGCCACTGCTATAATACTGAAGTCAACTGTGTCAGCTTGGCTATTGCCTTTAAATTTAGTCTCCCCATTATCACTTCCAAGCATTGGCACCCCCAAAGTATTTAGTGCCTGAGATGCAAATCCTTTGAAATCATCATTATCTCCACTTTGGCTGCTTTCATCAAAATATTCTTCTCCAAAACCACTTTGGCTCTGGCTGTTCAACAAATCAGGATTGAAATCTACTCCATCAGGAAAAAAATGACTGGTAGGAGAGTCACTACTGGGGCTTCCTGCAGCATCTGCAATAAGGTCAGCTGGATCAGTGTATGGATTTTCATTATTATTGGTTTGAAAGACATCAGGGTCAAAGAGGGTACTCTGAGAATGCCCAGAGCTTGAAGAATCTCGAACAGGGGTGCCAATGGGTGGGCAATCGTCATTAGTGCTGGGAAGCTTAGAGGCTTCTTCTGCAATGTCTGAAAGGATATCAGTTACATCTGGGCCAATGCTGTCTGAACTGGATAGTCGGACCATCCTTTGAATACTGGGTTGAGGGTGAGGTACTGGTTGTGGGTAAGTTGTTGGGGGAGTGCTACACTGGCTTGGAGCTGGAGTGATGTGTGGTGTATCCAGCGTGTCAGCTGTCATGTTGACATCAAAGATAGGGTTCTGTGAGTCAACATCCATTGAAAATAGCTCCCTCTGAAAGTCATCTTCAGTCTGGTGCTTGGGTTTGTCAGGTAGTAATCTCGATGACTTCTTCTTCTTTGTCTTGTTGCTTCCCGAGCACATTTCCATCCGGGGTGAGCCGGAAGAGGAGTTCTGCCTTTCTAAAGGGCTGCATCCATAAAGGGTTGAGAAATCCTGGGCAGGATTATCTTTAAGAAGGTTCATGAGCATCGGGTGGTTCTTGGTGTTGCCGGCCATCGAAGAAACAGGTGGCGGCGTGTGATGAGGAGGGGTCGGACTCGAGCCAATGGTAGACCCCCCGTTCCCTGTGATTTGCAACAAACTGGTAAGAATTGGGTTCTGAGACACCTTGCTGAAGTCCTCCCCATGGCCCACCGACTCATGCCGATCTTTGATGCTCATGCTCATATTAAACAAGGTGGTAATGGGACCCCCCGGAAAGGTGTTGGTTGGTGTAGTGGTACCACTCATTGGGTTGTTGCCTGTGGTCATGCCATACCCTGGGCTGCTAGCCGGGGGCAGGTTCTTTTTCACCATGTCTTCAACTGTCTCTGCAATGAGGGACAGTGCTGGGGTGTCGGCCTGAATGGTTTCGGCTTTCCTCCGAATAGCCCTCATCGTCACAGGGATGGACATACATCTGTAAGATAAGATAGAAAAAACAAAGTTAACATAGCACTAGCAAAATGAAACCAATTTTTCATTAGGGAAAAGCTTTAATTTTGCCTGAGGTATAGATATGCCATCAGAGGTTTGTAGTAAGCAGTTGTCAGGTAAGACAAATAACCCCAAACGCAGGAGCAGGTCTATGAAATGCCAGAGCTTTAGGTAAATTCGTTATAAGAAGAATCTAGACTGGTAGGCAATCATTAACCTCTTTTGAAGCACCACCCAAAACAAACTAACCATAAACAAGAGTCCAAATACTTAGATAGCATAAAGAACTAAAAGAAAACTGGTAATAATGAACTCAGTATAAAAAATGCCCTCCTTTTAGAGTTTCACGTGTAATTAATAGGATATATGACATCTCAATTCAGAAACCACTAGAAAAATCTCTTGATCCATCAAGTTCTAAACCTTAACAGCTTAGATCACCCCAAAACTTTACGTGAAAAGTGCTACTGCTAGCATGAAATCGTTTATTTTAAAGCAAAGCACTTTTTAACTTACGGATATATTAATAAATATATGTTTGAAAACATTTTGCTCTACAACATGTCAGCAACCTTTCTTAAAGGGCCAGTTAGTAATAGTTTAAGTTTTTCAAGATCATACAGTTTCTGTCCAACTACTCTGCCATCTTAGTTCAAAAGCTGCCACTCAAAATACATAAATAAATAGATATGGCTGTGTTCCAACTAAATTTATTTACAAATAAGCCACTAGTACCCATTCAAAAAAATCGCAAAATTACATATTAATGTTTCTGAGAAGCTGACTGGCTTAAGTAGCTTCCCACATACTGCCATTGACATGTTACATATGTTAAAAAGTGACCAGTTGGACGTGGTTTTATGGTGTAGTGGTTAGCACGATGCTTTACACGCAGAAGGTCCTGGGTTCGCGCCCCATTAGAGCCACGGCCCATGGTCTATGGTCATGCCACCCTGAACAAGCCCGATGTCTGATCTCGGAAGCTAAGCAGGGTCGGGCCTGGTTAGTACTTGGATGGGAGACCACCTAGGAAGACTGTAGGCATTAAAAAAAAAAAAAAAAAGTGACCAGGTAAGTGAAAAAAGATCTACATCTTATTTCAGCTCTCTTCTTCTTAAAAAAACCCTAATGCCAGGCCTGAAGTTACCTACCTTACTTTCTATTACTCTCATAATGATATTTTAAAAAAACCAAGGCTCATATTGCTTTGAATCCAAAAGCAGAGAGGGTGAATTTAAAGCAGTAACTAAATGTTTTCCACCCAAATTTCCAATTCACTCTAATACTGAAAACAGTATTCCTTATACACCTCTTACTGGGACTCTGATGGAAAAGGGCCAGTGCTACCTTTGAACAACTTTGGCAATGAAGTCATCTGTGCAGATGAGTGCATCTGACAGCCCCTTGTAGAGTTTGCAGCTCACGTGTGTTGAGTCCTGCACATCCATTACCACTGAAAGACAAAATATATAGGTGGTATTTGAGATAAATTCAGCTTCTGACTTCTCAAAAGGAGATAAAGGGACCAAACTGCTACCCTGAGAGAGGTGCTATCCACCCATACAACTCACCACACACCAGGGAGTCATTCACAGGGTGCTGAAAAGATACGCTGAAACGGGACTCTGAGAGGGGACACACTTCAAATTGGAGAAGCCCAGGAGAATCTAAAAGACCAAGAAAACATCATAAAATAATTAACCAAATATAAGACTTGAGAAAAGTAAATACTAATCCTTAAGTATAAAGAATGAAATTCTTTCCCTTGGAAACTAAATCCCACACATTTTTTACGTACAAAATCTACTATGTCATCCACAGATAATAGAAGAAATCTGCCACTTTGTTATAAATTTTCCAAAATAAGTAACTAAATTTCAGTTTTCTAAAATGAAGGCATTTAATTCCTAAGATGTTAAGGACCTTGACAGATATAAACACCCTGCCTTAAAAGTGAATTCTGAATATAAATGTGGCCAAGAGGAGTTTCTCATTCTGTTTGATAAGCAGATATCCAGAACCCTGCTTCCTATCAGTGTCATAAACCCTGCTTCCTATCAGTGTTTACAGCTGCCAGCTGTGTAGCCCATAATCTGGTAAGCAGGGATGTAGGGGCTACAATGTAAAATGATATATTTATGCCAAATACATATATATCTGTCATCATAGGTTCCTAAGTCAAACATGCTGGCAGCCCAGAGACAAGAATCACAAATTTTCTTGGCAGAAAGCATCTCCGTAGGACTAACTTCATAGCTACCTTACAAAAACTCATTTTTAGCTGCCATGAAGCTATTTGATGAATTCTCCTAGGATTCAAATACATGAAATAGAAGAACCATAAGCACACTTGCATATGCTGTGTCGTTACTCCAACTCTAAAAGTTCTCATTTCTGAAGCACTTCTTATTACCATTAAAGATATCTCCTGATTTACCTTCCTTGTTTGTTCCTGCCTATCATTTGCACTGATACATATCACAGAAGTGCTTTACAAATAAAATAAAAAATTAACTATGGTTAACTAGAGCAGTCAAAATTCACATCAAGGCATCTAATAGCAAACTATGTTTGAAAAACATCAGCATTCCAGAATCCTGGGAAAAAAACAAAAGAGCACAAGTCTCACCACTTTTTAAACTACATGATTATTTCTCCAAAGACTGGGGGGAGGAAATATACTCACAACTAAAAGTTGAGAAGCACTGTCTTATCAACCTAAAATTTGGATATCAAGAAATCCTCTCATCTACAGCCATGCTACCCTGAACAAGCCCAATCCCGTCTGATCTTGGAAGCTAAGCAGGGTCGGGCCTGGTTAGTCCTTGGATGGGAGACCACATAGGAAGACCAGGTGCTGTAGGCGTAAAAAATAAAAAAAATAAAAAAATAAGGGATTGTAAGCTAACAAGGTCCTTGCAATCTGTGAGGTCAACCAAGGGTTGCCTTGCCTAAAAAATAAAAAAATTAATAATAATAAAAAAAATCCTCAATATTGTATACCAAATGTAATGAAAAAAGAAAAAGAAAAAAAGAAATCCTCTCTTCCTACAGCATCCCAAGTCCTAGTTTATATTTTGCACCAAGGTTCAGGCCCTTAGGTACCCAATTATATCACTGTATGTAGGAAAAAAGTACATCCACTGCAAAAACAAAACAAACAGTGGTTTCCAAATGCCAATTAATAGATTGGTTCCATCAATTTATTTGTGGAACTTAAACTAGATTCCCAGCTCCTCCTACTGAGGTTCTAATTCAGTTCATTTGGGTGTGGAAACAAATATCTGTACTTTTAAAAGCTCCACAGGTGATATGATGGGCCATCAAATTAGAGAACCACTAGACCAGTAGTCCTCAACCTTTTTCGCACTAGAGCCAGTGCTCCTATGAGAATCTAATGCCTGATGATCTGAGGTATAGCTGAAGAGGTGATGCTAGTGCTGGGGAGCGACTGCAAATACAGTTTCGCTCACTGGACTACCACTAATCTCCTGCTGTGTGCCCCGGTTCCTAACAGGCCATGGACTGGTGCTGGTCCATGGCCTGGGGATTTGGGACCCCTGTACTAGAGTAATGTTTCCATTTACCAATAAGTATATCAAAAGGAAAGGCAGTACCTTCTTTCAGAATAGTTCTTTTGACACAGCTTCCAATTAGGGTGTTATAGGCCACTTGGTGTCTGATCAGATTTAGGATAAGAGGAACCCGGCCAGGGTGCTGAAAGGTGATTTTGCTAACAAGGGTTCCCTGTAGACTTCTGCCATCTGGAAGAGGAGCATCCTTGTTGAGGAAATAGCAGTGCTGCTGGCCTGGAAGAGCCTGGACAAAAGAACAAAGGCAAGAAATGCTATTTACTCACCCATTGTACTCCAACCACAAAAATATCCTTTGAAAAAAGAAAAATAAGAAAAAATAAACCTACTCCTCAAAACTCAGCAGCAATTTCCCGGTGAATAATAAAACTCCACTATGAATTATTTGGTCATCAGAAGTTATACCAATTACTCACTTGGCTGAAAAGACCCTTTTTTTGGTAAATATTTTGCTAGTGGTTTCCTAACCTAGCGAACATAAATATTACCTCGGATATCTGTACAAAAGAGGTTCCTGAACTATAAGTGTAAAATCTGTTATTTTTAATAAAACAACCTATATAATTATAATGCAGCCAGAATTTGGATACTACTTTAGAACATCATCAAACATTCAAATAAATTTAAGTAAAGATGAGATTTTGGAATCTTCCTTAATTTATCCATTCCAGCACTTTCTTCTCTGTTATGTACTTGAAGAAACATTCCAGATTCTAAGCACGTGGCACTTGAAAAAAATTAAACAATAAGAATGTTTAACATATAAGCTTATAAAAGTTCAGAATACCATTAAGAGACTTTCATCTGAAATTTCAACAATGAAATGTACATTGCTTCCTGACTAAGAAGCTCATGCTTTCTTTTAAGTATGTTTTAGAGATTTCTGTAATTTCCTGCCTGATTGAGGAAATCAGGATATGATCCAGCAATCCAAAAGAATGTTATCTGACCTCAGTAATCCTAGAAAGGAAGATTCTGATCTTGGGTCTAAATAACCTGTAACAGTCCATGGGGCCTTACTTACAGCATAAAATCGCATGTTGTGATTCAAAGGTATGGGGTCAGGATCCTTTGACAGCTCAAACTGAGTGATCAGTTCATAGAGGGGTACATAAGTTGGTTGAGTTTCAAACAATGGAATTCCTGGAAAAACAAGGATCAATGTAATGATTACAAAATCAAAAGTTCTCCCTTCATGCTTTTACTTCATCCATTTATTCAAAAAGTACCTAGTACAAAGCAATATGACCTCTATATCCATCAATATTTTTTTGAGGCCTGCAAGACTGAAAGAGGTCTGAGATAATCTGAATTTGAAGTTTGCTTTTCACATTAATAACAAGTACTGGGGCTCCTGATGCTTAAAACTCACCTGTACAGTTCTGAAGTTTCTGAACAAATGCTCTAGATACTGGGATTGGTTGGGGAAATTTCAAGAAGAAACAGGCAGGAAGATCAACACTGTTGGCACTGGTGACTGAGGAGAAGGAAGGGGTCCTTCAAACAAAAGAAGGGGGAAGTTTGAATTTTTGACTCGATGTGAAAATGAAAAATCTAAACACCCATTCTTAGACAAGTCTTTCATATAAACACATACGAAGCCTATCAAAACTCACTCTTTGAACTTTCTTCCCCCAATTCCAAAACATCCTATTTGTTAACCCTAAAATATTTAATCAAACATCCTGAGACATGTTCTCTAGTTATTACTCCAACATAATTCCAAATCGACATTAAGTCCCACGAGAAAAAAATGGAACAATCATTAAATCAGAGAATTAGCACAGTTCTTTCTCAGAATAGAGAATGTTTTCTATGAGCAGACTTCAAAGAGGAACATCAAAATAGACATCGAAAAAAAGAAAATGGATAAAACAAAAAGCCAGTCTCTAGAAAATCAAGTGACAAAGAGCCAAGTCAAAGTGATACTTGTTTCATACTGGGGTTGAAGTTGAAAAAATGGACTTTGCTACCCTAGAATTATATTTAACTTACCATTTGTTGTCAACTGGATGTGACCCCATAATTAATGGTGCAATTGGGAGTTTATACATAGCAGATGTTCCTTCAATTGTCACTGATGCATTCATGCCCAAAGATCGAGGAACTGGGAATAGCAAAGAAAAAGAGTATTATCCAAAGTGACACAAATTATAAGGATCTTAACATTAAAAACAAACAAAAAAAACCAGGCTAACTTCTGTATAATTTGTCAGCCCTATTTTGTCAGATACTATAATACCTATATAACTTAGAATTGCTAAAAATTACCTTTCTAATCAACAATATTTCTGTCAGTAAATCAAACTAAACATGGGAAACAATGAAGTCCAAGGAAGAAAAATTTTAAAGATTCATTACTGATATATTTCTTAGTTTCTCCAACTTCAGAATGCATTTAAATAGAATTATGATTATAGGATAGTCAATGATTAAAGTTTCCAGGGGACCAAATGAAATATTAGGCCATTTCTCATTTTGTTTTAGTGTATTACAGTGCAAATAGAAAATAATATCCATTATCTAATTCTTTAGTAAGTTGGCTAATTTCTTCACCTAGAACAATGACTAAAGATTATTTCAAGTCAGGTGGTTTATATCTTTTCATTCACTCATTTACTATTCAAAAGCACTATTAAGCTTTTAGTATTATGTATATGTGTATATATACCTATGTATATATGTATGCATATATGTGTGTATATGTGAGTTTATCAGGTGCAAACTTTGGTAGGGAGGGCACACTTGTTAGGGAGTAACAACCAGAAAGTACAGGCACACCCAGGCATTAAATTTTTACAAATATTTTTTCGACAGTGAACAAAACCTTCGGTTGCTTTCCAGTTAAAGTCTTACCATTATTCTCATGCAAAATGATGGGAGATGTAGTCTTATCATCCAGCAGGTCAGAAGGAGAGGCATAGTACTTCAAGTTCATCAAATGACCTATGAAAAATAAATCGTATCCCTACATCTTTATTGGATAAATTACAAATAAAGAAAAACATTCCCATTTCTATAAACCTATATACAAAAAAATTGTTTCACAGATATAAAGACTCTTGCTCCAAAGCAGCTTATGAAATATGACAGAAGCATAAGTATTGATTTCAGTGGCAACAATTTACTTCACAATTAAAAAATAAAATTTAGGGAAGGAAGGTGTTAACACCTTCGAAATCATTAAGAATATACAAATGACTGGTAATTTTCTCCCTCTGCTTATACACCTAAAGTGAAATTTTAAGTAATGACCCCTCAATTAAAATTAGATCTTTTTCTCAATAAACAAAATAGGATCACATACCCCCACTTCTTGGAGTGAGATAGCCAACACTTCCATGAAGAATTTTATCCAAGGGACCAGCATTGGTTGCTTTCCTGCAAGACAAATGATCTATGTTTGCTGCTTATGTTTAAGCCCTAAAAGTGTTTGTGCACAATATAAAAATTAGTTCGGCTCTTAAAAGACTTATAAATACTATCGTAACAACTCTGTTCTATAACTGGGCATGTAACAATTGTATTTCACCTTCAAAGTGAAAGGATTATTTCCAAGTATACACAAGTATGTATTACAGTGAACGTGAATAACAACTAGATTATTATTTATAAGATGGGAGGCCAGGTTTGATAAGTCTTCAGATAAAACCTATAGGAATATCAACCAACAACTTAGGGATATTGACATTCAGAAAATGGAATGCAATCATCATTTGAAAGGAAAGAAGATAGACAAGATGTATAATATAGGTAAAATATAGATAGATAATAATATAAGTCTATAATATAGATATATAAAATAGGACCCTGGTAACTCCATCCATGAAAAACTTTTAAGAACAAGGTATCCAGAAGGGTATTATAAAATTGACCTTAGCCAGTCTTACCAATACATAACTGCCATTTTAGATAGGTCCTGTTCTAAGGACTGGAGAGCCAAGTACATTTTAGTCTTCAGTTTGCTAGAGAGTAGATGAAGAGAACAAGAGTTAAATAGTTAAAATACAGACAGCTACACACAAACATACAAACATTGATATTGATATAGAAAGCCTAGAGTCTATATTGGAGGCAACTACAATATCCATAAAAAAAAAAAAAAACCCTTTCAAATGTTAAAAAATTCATAATGATCTATCAAAGCTAATTTTTATCTCTATTTAAAAGAGCCAAGCAGGTTACCAGAATCCCAGGTAGCATAAAAGTAAAAATGACAATCCAGATCCACAACAACTAATATATTTCAGCCCAGAAATCAATATGTTGAAGATGTTTCAAGGATTATAATTTATTTTAGCATTATAATCCATTAAGGAAGATATTGTTTATTTAAAATACCTTTAAAAGACAGAGTTGGAAGCTGAGCTATAGATCGTCAGCATGAGTGGAAATCACAAATGAGATAGGGCAGAAGACTTGGCAAATATCTAAACACAAAATAGTTTCTAGGTTTATACTGATTTTTCCAACAAAAGCAAAAAATAAAAACACTTACTTGTCCCCTGGAAGGTTATAAAGATTAACAAGACCTTTAAGGTGCTTAGAAAATTCATCAAAATTTTTTTCCCTATAAGTACAGGCAAGAGGAGAGAAGAGAATAAAACATACAGTTACTACTCAATCGTAACAGCAAAATGCCAAAAATTATAGCTATATAAAACTAATTTTAATAATTTGGTTTACTCTTTTTCCCCTAGCCAAAATTATCTAGAATCAATCACAAGTAGCAAAAGAAAAATGAAATATTTTCCTTTCTCTGTTTTTTGGAGATGGTGTTAAATAAGCAGTATATAGTCAAAAAGACCTGTTAATTTATATACTCGTTTGCTCCTAAGTTAATGAGACTGATTTAAATAAATCACTTACTTTCCCTCTTAACTGAGAGGACCAGATGTCTTGAGGGAAAAAAAAACTTGCAGAGGAAATGGAAGTAAATAGAGATGATGGAACACTTGTGGGTATATGGCAACATAAGAGCAGAGATGGAAAATGAACACTAGGAGAGAGATAGATGGGAGACATGGAGAAAAAGGGATGGATCCTGTGGAGACAAACCACATATTCCAAAATGTTCCTATGACTAGATCTACCCCAGGAAAAAAAAAAAACCACTGCCATGACCCTTGTCTTCCTAGAACCCAATATTTAGCCTTGGATTCTTAGTCAAATGGACTTTTGTGGACAGGCTGAAGAATCTAACACAACTCAACAATTCTAACTTTCTGTATCTTTTTTCAATCTTTGAAAAAAAAAAAGTCTCTTGAAAATTAAATTGTCCTGACAATGTCAGGCAATTATTGAGCATTCAGTGAACGCTTATTGCGAGAAGTGCCATGAAGACAATAAAAAAAAAAAACAAGATCAGCAGCAAAATATATTCCCTACCTTAAAATTACTATCTATACAAAGTGACTAAAAATATCAAGTATAAAGGCTAACATTCTTTCTGAGGTTCCCATTTCCAAACATGCTCACAAATCAACTTTAGAACCATCAGTTCATAAGTTCATGCAGTCTTCTACTCCAGATTAGAACCAGAAATATTGCCTTGATAGACTGAAAGCCAATGTCTACCTTTCTGGACAAAGGTGGTAATACTGCTTTGCTAGACTTACTGATTCAAAGAAATCATAAAAAGATTATTTTTTATGTTGCATTGTAATTTTTTAAAGCTGATTCAAATTGGTGCATTAAGCTACGTAAGCACATTAAACTAAACACTGAGAAAGGTGAGTGTGATACTTAGTTCCTCAATATTACCACCCTTTCTAAGACATCTTCATGTGATATCTGAGAATTTCACTATCTTTACAACATAAAATTGATATAATAACTTTCTCAAATTCCCGGAAAGTTAAATCTGGGTTTAAATTTAAGCATGGAACTTTCTACTCAATTCAAAGGAAAAAGATAAGCCAGTAGAAAAAGCCATCAACTACTAGAAGAGATCCTTCAAGCCTAGCGCTTTACTATGATGGGAGTTTAGCACACGTATACCTTAAATGGAAAACAATTTTTCTCAAAATTAAAGTGAAAATGTCTTTGTTGTGGTATAGATTCAATTTTCTCAAGCCTTCTCTAATTCAATAATTAGGTTCTATTTATTTTTGTTCCACACAAAATTCCAAAGGCTACATCAGAGTTCTCAACCAGGAGTGATTTTACCCTCCAGGGGACATTTGACAATATCAGAATACATTTTTGATTGTCACAACTTAGGAGATACTACTGGCAACTAGTGGGAAGAGAGCAGGGATGCTGTTAAACATCCTACAATGCACAGGGCAGCCCCTAGAACAAAGAATTTCCAGTCCAAATTACCGATACTGCCAAAGTTAAGAAACCATTAGACTAAGTAGGGTAAGAAATTAAGCTAAGTCAATTCTGAAAGTGAATAAGTACAGACTGTGAAAAATCCAGACCCAAGAAAATAAATTTGTTCGTCAGGAAAGTATCTTACCCATTCAGCCTCAAAACCTAGCTATAAAGGACAGCATTGCCTGACATTATCAGTGAATATAAATGTCATTTGCTTACCTTAGCTGCTGTACAAGCTCTGGACAGCTCTGAAATTAAAGAAATTATGTTAAAACTTTCAACTATTTTAAGACTTTAAAAGACAGTAAGAATTTTTCTCATTATTAACAGCACATGCTTTTTAACAAAAACACTGAAACTATAGACGGTCCATGTATTAAGATATCAAAAAGCATCTTCTTCCTACTTGGTAAACCATGGGGTTGGGGTGGGAAATTAAAGATCAAAATATATGAAATAGTTTATAAAGAAATCAACTTTCAGTAGCTTAAAATATTAGGACCTCTCTTTAATGCCATCCTTGGAAACTATATCCAACTGTCTGGTTACACACATTTTACATTTATCTCTTTTACAGGATTTTTCAGAGATATCAGCTATCTACAAGATTTTCTGTCCCTTTTAGTTATAAGTTCTTTGATGAGAAGAATTTTGAGTTATTTATCTCTGTATCCCCAGCACCTATTGTTCAATTTTGGCTCATGTTTGTTGAATGAAAAGGGTTCCTCTGGTGTTTCCACTTGTCAAAGCCTTTGGATGATGTCAGCGATGGACCCACGTTATTTTAAATTCCATTCTATAGCTATTGATGTTGTAGCCCATCACATCACCTCTACAGTGGCTCATGAAAAAAACCTAAACCCAAGCTTTTCCAAACCCCAACATTCATTTTAAAATTAATGTCCCTAAGTAAACCCCACAGAGTCCAGTGAAATATCGACAACACATACCACAGGATTCTCCCCATGGTGAGCCACTTTTACATCACAAAGCTGTCCTGCAGGATCTAACTGCACTTCCACATAGAACATATCTGACGTGATGTAACATTCAGTGCCACTGGCACTGAGATGAGAGCCCAGTCTAGCAGGAACAAATCAAAACAAAAATTAATAGAAGACACATAAATAAAGCTACCCAAAGTCAACACTAAGTTATACATTTCTGCTTACAGATAGACTACTTACCCATTCTGTCTTGCTATAGATTCCAAACGGTCAGTCATTGCTGGTAAAGATGTTACTATGAAAGGGTGAAAAAAGGAAATCATAAAGGATGCTTCATATAACTTAAATTGTATTCTTCAAAGATAAAAAACATCCTGCGGAGTCTATCTGTTCTTTTAAAGCCATAAACACGTTCAAGAGTTCGAATACTTAGAATCTGCACAAAGTTCATCTTTAAGACTTAGCTGTAGCCTAGGCAGTAATAGGGGTCAAAAAAAATCTATTTCAAAAAATTATTGGACCTTTCTCCACTCCTTTTTCATTATTCATTTGGGACAGTTATCTTTAACTTAAAGACACAGTTAGCTGCTAATGCTTGAATAAGAAAGATTAACATCAAACCAACATAAAAGTAAGTACTCAATGTTCACAGTGGCATTATTCACCATAGCCAAAAGATGGAAACAACCCAAGTGTCCACTGATGGACGAACAAACAAAATGTCACACACATATATATATATACACACATACACATATATGTATACATACACGTATATATGTACATACACACAATAAAATATTATTCGGCTTTCTTAAAAAGGAAATTCTGATGCATGCTACAAAATGAATGAACCTTGAAGACATTATGCTAAGTGAAATAAGCTAGTCATAAAAGGACAAATACTGTATGATTCTACTTCTATGAGATATCTACAGTAGTCAAATTCTTAGAGACAGAAAGTAGAATTGTGGTTGTCAGGAGCTGGAGGGGGAAATGAGAAGTTAACTGTTTAATGAGTACAGAGTTTCAATTTCAAAAGATAAAAAAGTTCTGTAGATGGTGATGATAGTTGCACAATAATGTGAATGTACTTAATACCACTGAACTGTGTATTTAAAAATGGTTAAAGTGGTCAATTTTGTTATGTATATTTTACCACAATTAAAAACAAAACTATATTCAGCACAATCAGGTTCGTTTGTGGTGGATCAGAGTAAAATCTGTTTTTACTTTCATTCCCCCCACCCCAAAATAGAAGAGGTAAAGTTATAAGCATGAATAATCAAGCTTAGGATTTGAATTTTTTGTCTGCTTTCCTGAAAACATTGTCCATAAATACAGTAAAAATCTTTTAGCATTAAAATGTCCATCTTCTTATTGAGAATTTAAAGAAATACATAGATAAAAAAAAAACTTTCCCCTGCTATCTTACCAGTTACCTTTCATCAATTGTTTTGCATCTCTACCAGCCTTTAAAATAGGATAAAAAAAACAGTCTATGGCCATGCTACCCTGAACAAGGCTGATCCTGTCTGATCTCAGAAGCTAAGCAGGGTTGGGCCTGGTCAGTACTTGGATGGGAGATCACATAGGAAGACCAGGTGCTGTAGGCATAAAAAATAAAAATAAGGGATTGTAAGCTAACAAGGTCCTTGCAATCTGTGAGGTCAACCAAGAGTTGCCTTGCCTAAAAAATTTAAAATAATAATAATAAATAAGCAAGTAAGTAAATAAAATGTTTCAAAAGTTCAGGTAAGAACTCCTCTCAATTCCATAATGAAGCAAGAGCAACAGCTAGCATAGAAAATTGACCAATCTCCTATGGCCATGTCACCCTGAACAAGCCTGATCTCATCTTATCTCAGAAGCTAAGCAGAGTCGGGCCTGGTTAGTACTTGGATGGGAGACCACCTAGGAAGACCAGGTGCTGTAGGTGCAAAAAAAAAAAAAAATGTTGACCTATCTCAATTTATATTTCTTGTGTAAGTATAAAAATCTTTCTTAAACTGGGTGTTTTAAGAAATCAGCATATTTCAAAGATGTTTACAAACCTTTAAGAGCTTTCTGCAATGTTTCCAAACAGCTGACCAAATGTTGGTGCCCTCCAGAACTCATCACAACCCTTTTCTCCTACATTAGTGGGAAAACATTTGAGGTAAAAATTAAGCCAACAGTGTTTCAGATGTACATACACATTATCCTAATAGTAATATTTCAGAATAGTCTATAAACTATATGTTATAGTCTATATACTCTACATCCTCTATATACTTGAAATAGTCTATAGACTCGTAACTGTTACTCTGTCCATCAAGCCAGAAGAGGAAAAGTAGTTCATATAGTACATGGATACAACCATCTACATGAAGGTAGAAAATGTATATTCAGATCTAAAAGAATATAACCTTCAGGGAAAAATTAGGAAGAATCAAAATGTAATGAGATCAGCTTCCTGTATAAGTAACTACATCCTAAGATTTACTCAGTTAAATACAGAGACTCATAAGATTTGGCAACTCATATTTTCAAACCAGGTGATTTGCATGTAATCTAAGAAATACAACCAGACCGTAGTCTAACTAAACTAACTCTAAAACTATGCGGCCCAGAAAAGGGATGCCCGAAGAGCAAGAATTTTGGCATAGTTTTTCTAACTCTATCCAGGGAAGAAGTTTTTCTCTGCACAGCATTCCAGCCCCAAAAATGTAAACAGCTTTATAATACAGAATAGTTTTTCAGGCTTTTCCATGCCCTAAATCCATCTCTCTTTGCTCTAATTCCACCCTCATAAAACAAACACCTGATTAATAATCTGGTTTCCTTTATACCTTGAATAGACAAGAGACAATGCTCTGGACAATGGATACTAATATTTTGATAACTGGAAAGATAAACCCTCTGTTGTAAATTAATAAATTGGCATTCTGATTTACATGTTAGTCTACTGAGATTTTGTATGTCAATTGTTAAAAATTCTTCAGTCTTCATATACCAATAAAATTAGGTTTTTGAATCTGCAAAGGTGAGTAGACAATGAAAATTATGGTGACTAAACTAAGACACTGGTACCTCAAGAAAGGGTCTTAGTAGCCACCTGAAATTACTCTATCTCATGATATCTCTCTAATGACAATATCATTTATAGAACATATTTCATATTAGAACATGACTGTCTTATGGTATAAAAATGACAATCTCAGAATTCCCAGACTAGAAAAACTATCATTTATTTGACTTTTTAAATACCTTTTGTGTACACAATCCTGAGCCAGAAGATATACTTACATTTGTAGAATTTATAGTTACAGAAATCTTTTAACAACACAACAGTTTGATATCTATTATCTGACTTGATCCTTACAACAGAACTACTGTAGGTCCACAAATAACTTCATCTCATTATAACACTGATAAGAAAACAAAATTTGATACCAAGCTGCGGCCACTGTGTGGAGTTTGCACATTCTTCCCATGTCTATGTGGGTTTTCTCTGTGTACTCCAGTTTCCTCCCATGTCCCAAAGATATGCATGTTAGGTTAACTGCATGTCTAAATTGTCCCAGTATAAGTGAGTATGAGTGTGTGTGTGAGTACACACTGCGATGGAATGGTGTCCTGTCCAGGGTGGGTTCCCACCTCACGCCCTGAGTTTTCAGGATAACCTCTGGTCAACCAAGACCCTGAACTGGGGATAAACAAATTGAAAAATAATTATCTTTCTTGTTTTTATTGTTATTTCTTAAATGTATGAAGAGCTCAGATTTATTTCACTGTTTAATATCAGAAGTGTTTTGGGTCCTTATTTAGAAGTTTGGTAATGTTTTTGTGACCAGACCCATGCCATAGGACCTTAACTCTTGTGTGTATCAGTAGCCTGTGGTAATATTGGTTTCATTATATGTCATTTTGCTTAAAGTTGCAGTTTCTGAGAACGTATCAACATTAAGGAAAGACTTAATGTATGTGAAAAAGCAAACTGATACTGTGTGTCTCTACTTTCCAGATAAGAAAACTTAAACTCGGAGATATTAAATAATATGTCCAAGGTCATGTAAGTAGTAAGCATTGTCGTCAGACCTAACATACAGATATTTTGACAGCAAATTCAGTTCTTTTGCTAATGTTATACTGATATGATCATTTTAAACACTAATAAATCTATGAAGCTGAACTTACTCTCGACCTAAAGTAACATTTGGGGTACTTTCATTGAAGTATAGCATATATATAGAAAAGTATGCAAATCTTAAGTAAAGGAATCCATGAATTATCATAAAGTAAATACAGTCACGTATCCACTGTCCAGGTGAACTCACATAAGTAAAGTTTTCCTATATCACTCGACTACTGCTAGAATCATATGGATGAACTTTTAACAACCAGCCATGCTCCTACCCCTAACCCCTTGTCTTCCACTTAACTAAGGGCTCACCATACTGGTGAATGACTCAGGAGGTGAAGTAGTACTGTAGAGAAAGAGGCTGACAGAAATAAACAGGTAAAACTAATTAAAAATGAATTGTAAACTCTATTCCTAGTATAGATACAATGAAAATACTATCACATTAGTATCAAGGAGCTTGACAGGAAGTGAAGAATAAATATCTCTATACCAGTCTATCACATGTGTCTCTTATTGGTGTATTCCATAGCACCTTTGCCTAAAGTATCCCAGTGTACTATAACTCACGATTAACACAATTTTATAACTATATTTCCTTCTTAGGTAAATTCTTAAAACGCCTGAGTACATGGTAGCTATCAACTTTATGATAAATAAAACTGAAGACACACTATAACTAGTTTGAAAAAATCTAAGAGCACTTAGCTTATTAAATAATTGTCTAAGCACACACCACAATCCTCACCATGACTTGACGCACAAGCTTAATGGTTTCACTCCAAGGTCTATTTTGGTTAAATTTTGCATGAAGCCGTTCCAAGAGAGAACTCATCTTACTCAGCTTTTCCGACTCTATGATATAAATCAGAAGACATCATTAGAAATTCTTATTTCAAAACCTTCCAGTTTTTCTTGCAAACGAAACCCCCACACATTATCCTGGTAAGAACGCAGTTAAAATATTTTTCAATATCATTTACTTCAAAACATACAAAGAATTTATTTTTAATGACAAGACAACACACGAATTATGGGTTTATCTAATAAATACCATAGAACAGGACTGCTTTCCATCCAAACTTTTAATGAGAACTGAAAAAGAACCATCTCTAATGATTCAAGATTAAGACTACAATTTAGTGACAAATTTCACTTCACTCATGAAATCTCTTACACGATATATGTAGAGCATACATTTGACGATGTATGCCCTTACTATGGGTAGTTGGTTTTCAATGTGAAAATATAGACTTCCTTATTTTTTTTTTACATAATTTTAAAAGATCAACTTACAAGTATTATCAAAAAAACAGGCTTTGTCATTCAGATTGCTCCTATTTGAATTCAAACTAAAACTATACGGACAGGGAAGATGTAAATGTCTAAATGATGAGTTTCCAGCAGAAATAACAGGTAGAAAAGACTGGCTCCTGGACTAAGTGTGTGAATGAAACCCCTATGCCCTTAAACCCTCCTCTAATTCTTATACTGCTTAGAATGAGCAAGGACCCGTGCTAGAGACCACTGGCGATGCAAAAACACACAATATACCTGCAATAACATCTGTGAAAGGATATGCATAAGTTAATGTGGAAATAACCATTACAGAAAGCAAAATGAGATATAATCTTAAAAACAGACACATTTCTAATTGAAATTCAAAGGAGTAAAAGTTAATTAGTTGCATGCATAGATGTTACAGAAAAAGTGTCATTGAAAGGTGAATAGAATGTCAGCAATCAGTTGAAGCAATGACATCTTCTAAATCAAGATTCAAACTCCTTCCTCCAATGTCCTCATCTTCTGGAAAAGTAGGTTTTGAGCTACTTTAGCCAGTTTATAGTTCTGGCAATTCTCACTTTCAAGACTTTTTTATTTAAGCACGATTTTACGTGCTGGGGATACAGCAGTGAGCAAACTAGACAAAATTCCTGCTTCACTGAGCTTCCATTTTACACCTGTCTTTCCTGAGTACCCAAGAAATAAATCTTTCTTCTTCTTCTCCTTCAAAACACACCCCTCCTTCCTTGAAAAGCCTGATAAATATCTTTATATAAATACTCAAATCAAACGTTTTTTGAGCAATTATTTATGTACCAGGGACTATACAATGAGTAAGGCAAGGTTTCCTGATCTACAAAGTTCAGAGTAAAGTGTATTGACAGAACTACGTCCAAAATGCTAAGGAAACATTTAACCTGTAGTGTAGACTTTTAGAGAATCTAAGGTTCCACAGAAAAGTTGTTTTTCAGCAGTTCTGAGTTAGTCCAGCCACTAAAAGGATGAAATTCAACACATTTTTTAAAAATATACAATAGCACAAGATCTGAACACTGTGACTGACGTTCAGGGAAATGCTGGCTTTTAATATTATAAGGACCTAATCATTTCAGTCACGCCAAAACATCCTCCAGTTCTCTGACACACGGTTCTGTACAATTGTTATGTCATTATTCAGACGTCTCTTCAGACATGAGGTGTAAGCAGGTTTTTGATTCACTAGCCCGGTCTCCCATAACTTTAGGATAAAAATCCCCTGAGGCCCTAGCTAAGCAGGAAACTGATTGCCCTAGCTAAGCAGGAAACCTTCACAGAAGTTGGGAACCCTGATCACCCCAAAGTCGGAGCTCTGGATCACGGGGAAGAAACAGTCATAATCTGAAACTCAACACAGATCCCGCCTCCTAGACTCTGGGCCCTCGGGAGGGTGGCTCCCGCAGAGGCATCGGACCCCCAGCTCTTCTCACAGATTGGCTCCCCCCAGCTGTGTCCCGCCCCCTGCTCTCCCCTTCAGTCACTCACCCTCGGTTTCCCCCTGAGCCTTCATCCTGACGGTGGGGAAGGCCTGAGTCCTACACAAGAGGAAAAGCCCTTCCCCACCGCTCACGACGGAACCAAGTTGGCTTGGGCTCCCGGGATGCGGGGCACCAGCAGTCCCCACTCTTCCCGGGAAGGCTCAGTCTGAAGTCCCTGGCGGCAAGAAGAGAAGGGTGCTCGCGGCCGCCGCCATTTTCCCCAACGGAACTTCCCAAAGATCGCGAGATTAACCGTGATCCTGCGAGAGGGAGGAAAAGGGCTGGGCCACAAACTATCGCGGAAAATGATTAACGGGGTGCTTCTCGCGAGAATCTTCCAATCCAGCTTTTCCTTAGCTTTTGGTTGATTCAGACTCCGCCTTTAGATACGGTGTTTGGCAGCTGGTAGCGACCGATTTCTCTTCTGAACCTGGCATTTCGTTTTGGCATTTAAGCAGTTCGCAAATTAAAATCCTCGGCTCTTTTTACTGAAAAACTAGCTTTTCGAAGAATATTGGTATTAGGACTATTTTATTAAAAATAATACGCTTTTTGTAGATACTAGATAGAATAATTATGCCATAAAAAAAGTATTGGCTCTTTGTAACATGACGTTCCACGCCAGCCCAGTACACTTAATTCCGTTTTTCTTTCTTTTTCTTTTTAATTTCAGAAATATTTCTTGAGTAATTTCAATATTTGAAGACCTGGGAGATTTTGGATTAAGGTAAACTTGTTTTCAGCTGTCAGAACATAAGATGCTAATATGTTTGTGTCCCTTTTTTGTAATCAGTGAAAATCAGTTTAGCTCGTACTTTACAAGTCACAAAGAATGTGTAGTCATATCTCCTGTACCAGTAAATTCTCACAAAAAAATTTGGAATAATGCTGAGTAGTTCATGGCCACTGGAACCGAAGAACCAGGCTAAAATAGAACAGTGCTAGGTAGCACTGGGTGAAAGTTCTTAACAGAGTTAAGGCTACTTTTATTTTAATGTTCTTTTCCCATGAACATCTTTAAAAATAACTGGTGGAAAGCTGGATTTTTTTACCTAGTTTGTGGCAAGGATATTAAGCAATAGATTTCCATCAGCTCTCACATCTGACTTTTCCCCACATTTCAAAAATGCTATTCAAACTTTCAAAGTGATTCCAGCAGATCACTAAAAGTCAGGTGAGCAGGCACAGCAGCATGAGTTTAGTAAGAACAAATCTTTGAAAATGTCTTTGAACTTGTTTATTGCCACAAAGTTATCTATAACTATGCTTCTTGAAAGTAGAATTCAAATTTATTTCTTGTCCCTCTTATCCGTATTCCTTTGAGTTGCTTGCTGCACACTGAGTTTCTTGGGGCAGGAATCGCCCCTCATTTTTGAGTCCCTGGGCCTCTCTAGCATTGTCCCTGGGCCTAGTTAGGCAAATCTTTTACTGGGCCTGCAAGCCTTGCTAGACCCAGATCTTTTCCCATCGCCAATCTCCAGCTGGCCTTCTTTTGCGTGCAGAAGATGCCTGCACTCCTTTTTCTCCCTAGATCCTTGAATAAGCCTTTTTAACTGCTGGGAGGCCTTCCTCTGCCCTCTCCCTTCACCTCACTAAGGCCCTCTGATATTCAGATTTCAATGTAAATGTCTCTTCCTCTAGACTAGAAAAGCAAGCCTTCTCAAACCTTTGACTTAATGAGGTCCTATATTATATTATCTCTTTAATAACACTTTCATTATCAAAATTAATTAAGTACATAATGATTTATTCAATGCCTGTCTTCCTTGCTAGACTGCCAGCTCCAGGAGGGCTGCACTGGTCTGTTTCTTTCACTGCTACCTAGTGATGTTGCCTAGCCCAGCTCCTGACACACGTCAGAGATTCAGTGTATATTGCTGGGATAAATTGATGAGATTTCCAGATAAAATACAGAACATTCATGTAAATTTGAATTTCAGAAAATCAAACATTTTTAGTGTAAAATTATGTCCTAAACATTATATAATATAAATGTAGCCACCTTAAAATTCATAAAGTACAGAGAGCATTTATCCAAGTGAGAATTTTCAAAGATAACATTTAAAATGCTGTTTCCTTTTCTGTTGTCAAACAAAGTGCTCTTCATTCAACAAGCATCTATGAAGTCCTAGTTCTTATGTTTTAGGAGCTGGTGATATAAACATGAAAACACAACATGAACCCCAACCCTTGATGAGCTCATCTGATTTAGAGTTCTGAAAATACAATTGATCACTATAATCATTTTGTTAATTTATTCTTATGCCCAAAGTATCAACGTTAGATACACAGCTACACTTCCTCATGGATACTCTCTGTACAAACAATAATGTCTCTACTAAATATAGCTAGAAAATTTTAAACCTTAGAAAGCTTGAAACTAGAGTAAACCACCATACTTAGAATGAGAAGTTATAATTTCTCATCTGAAAATGCAGATGAAATGACACTGTTGGAAATTTGTGCTCAAGAAGTAAAGGAGAGACATGTTGTTAAACAAGAAAAGCATTCAAGGTGCACATAGAAACAATCTTCCTATATGGCAAGAAGGGGACAATGGGCAAATTTTAAATGACTAAGCTTTGAGGAAGACTAGGCTCTTTAAAGTTAAAATCTAAACTAACAAATTGGTCTGGGGGAGATGTTATTATAACTTCAGTTAAATATTTTCTCTTGTATACAGCCTAAAGAGATTTCTGACCTGCTTTGGGGATTTACAGGGAAAGTGTAGTCAACTGATCATCTTGGGTTTTATACAGTTGCCCTGACTCCCTGCCCTGGGAGGTCATGCAAATAAAGCAAATTGTGCAGTCCTGGAATTTCTGAGTTCAAAGTTTTTCTGTAGAATGAAACAACACTTATTTTACAAAAGCATTATTCTCCACCTGAAACTAATGTAAATTAAAATAACATTGAATTATCACCTCTAATTGGAAAAAAAAAAGTGCTATTCTCACCAGTTCTTGGGTCAATTCATGCAGTCTAGAGTAGATTTTGTACTTAAAAATTTGGACACAATCTGAGATTTCCTTGAATAGAATTTTTTCCATCTTTATTGAGATATAATTACTTTAGAATTTTATCCACCAAAAAGAGAAAGTGTAATGTAATAGAAAGAGTACTGGCCTAGAATTAAAAATCTGTCCCTGCTCCTGGCACTAAGTGTAAACAGGCTCCAATTCCTTCTGAGTCTGTTTCATACTTTAGTAGATGCATGTTATAACATCCATCCTTGCCCACCTCACCAGGTAATTTGTTCAGCTGATATTTATTGAGAGGCTTAAAGATTTCAGTAGAAAATTGAAAAGTGGTATTGAAATATATTACAAAAATTCAATAAAAAGTTTCATGTTTTTCATTTATTTATTGGTGTCTCTTTGCTTAAATAGGCAACAGATAATTAATAATTATAAATATAAGTAATGCTATTTAATTTGGATGATGAAGTTTATTTTTCAAGATTTTATTCAACACATCACCATAATTCCTTCTATTTTTCCATTTTACTGGGGATGTGGGTGTATCCAGGTCAAAAACTTGAACTCGGTTACAGAAGAAAAATTAATTTTGCCAAACTCATGCCAATGTGTAATAAGGTGGGCTAGTCATTTCACCTAATTGGCCCATTAAGTCTCATGCCATCTGCCATCATATCAGATTCTGGTGGTGACCTTTACATCAAGGCTCTCGCAGCAATGAAGTACCACATCTGAATTTCAGTACTTAATTCTATCCCTTTTTTCTTTTCTTTTTTTCTTCATAGCATTAATTTTACTATTTCCTTAGATGATTAAAAAGTTGTTATGAAAACTTCATCTTTTTCATGTGTATTCAAGATTTATGGACTCAAACATTTAAGTAAAATAACTTTTTTAGTACCTATGTGACCAAAAGCAACAGGAATACATTTCAGGGAGTGATTTTGAGAGTGGATCCTTCTACCTTCATTCAAAATGTTTTCTGGCTCCCAATTTACTGGTTGAGCTTCCCATCTTTGCATATACAAATCCTATCCACTCTTCCTGGTCCAACTCAAATGCCCTTTTCATAAAACTGTTTCTTAAACTCCCCACCTCATTTTGAACCTCCTCAGTGCTCTCATTCTTATGACATTTATTACCTTATATCTTGTAGGACGAATATATTGTCTACATCCTATTTGAGGGCCCCGAGTAGGCAATATTACACAGAGAAAGGCCTTAAAATCTCATACATAACTGTGTTGAAAAAAATAATGTAGAAACTTGGACAAGTTACTTAAGTTCTCTGTGCCTTTGTTTTCTCACTTACACATCCCTATTTCAGATGATTGTTGGACGATGGAATGAGTTAATACATACGATGGAGTTTTGAAAAGTAAAAAATGAGGGGCAGGGTAAGAGACTATTTTTTCTTGGTCATGAATATTATGCTTTTCCTGTTCATAATTATAATCTTCTGTGTGACAATAAAAGCTAAATGATTCCAGAAGAGCCATAGATGATCCCAAGAGGTGACGAGCTTTCAGGTTCTTAGATTTTAAGCAGACTGGTGAGAGCTAATGCCACACAATAGAAGAGCTTGCGCTTTAGTGTCAGACATGAATTTGAATCTCGTCTTTGGCAACTACTGGATTAACTTTGTTACATTGAGTAAGTTATTTAACTTCTCTGGGTCTGAGTTCTCTCTTATCTGTAAAATAGGGATAAGAATATCGTGTTTTGCAGGGTAGTACGAGAATTAGAGATGATGCACATATTATACTCTATAAGCGGTAAGCATTTTTAATACTTAGGGAATTGGGTTGAAAATGTCCTTACATTCGCCTTTTGTCTTGTTGACAATATTTTCATCCTGGTAGTTATAAAGTATGCAAAAATTATTTTGCGCCGGAGCCTGGGAACATTTGTTCAATGAGTTATCAATAAAGTTTTGAATTAAAAAGAAAACCTGTTTCAATAAAGCTTTGACCAAACCGAGAGGCGCTTACCGCGAGAACATGAAGGCTCGCGTTTCGTGCTTGGGACCTGCTCTCGCGTTGTTTGATCAAGAAGCGATGAGAAGTGAAGCACGAAATACCGCGATCTTAGTGGATTCTCGCGAGATATTCTGGGATTGTCCCCCTCCCCCCTCCCCCAAGTGCCGTTTCGGTTTAACCTAGTGTGTGACTGTGAGTCTGTGTGAGGGAGCGAGCGTGTGAGGTGTTGAGGTGCGGCGGAGGCAAGAAAAGGGGCTCCCTCAGGAACAAGAGACAAAGGGGGTGTGAGG